CACACACACACACACACACACTCTCTCACACACAGACATTCTCTCTCACACACACACTCTCTCTCACACATACACATTCACTCACTCTCTCTCTCACACACACACTCACTCACTCTCTCTCTCACACACACACTCACTCACTCTGTCTCACACACACACTCACTCACTCTCTCTCACACACACACTCACTCACTCTCTCTCACACACACACACTCACTCACTCTCTCTCACACACACACTCACTCACTCTCTCTCACACACACACACTCAGACACACTCACAGTCACACACTCACACACACAAGGATTCACTGTCAGTCCTTGGAGAAGAACCCAAACAACAGTGAACATCTTCATTCACAAAAGATTGCAGGACCCCCACCTTGTGTTTGAAACAGGAGCTGCAGCTTCTCTTGTGTTCGGTTCCCTGAAACCATCACCTGTCTCTGCATGAGCCCACGCAGATAGGGAGGGTGCTGGTAACAGAGGGTTTTCTTGGGGAGGGGGCCTGGCCATTAGCACTTGGGGAATGGGTGTGGTCAGGTACACCAAGCTTCATCCAGCTGGCACTCACTGGGACTAACAGCCCCCTGAGAGCAGTGTGTGTGGGGCACCTTCAGGAGATCAGGCCTGGGATACCGACGGATTAACAAGCAAGGCTCTGTCGTCTTCGAGCTGTGGTTAAACTGTCCTCACAGATCCGTGTGTGCCTGACTGAACAGCTGACAACAACAGTCATTCAGAAAGAACATGGCTCTGTCGAGGTCCCCACTGAAAACCACTGGACACAGGGCTGCGTGACACTGAGAATGAAACCTGGCATTGTTTTTCCAGTCAGCCGGAGTTTTCCAACACGCGCAGGCTGGGAGAGGCTGGGAACGCTCTCCCACTAGCAGCAGCGGGTATTGCTTTTCAAACTGATGTCAACACGGGTTTTGTTCCAAACAGAGGGACTCAGGGATGTGGGCCAAAGGTGGGTTGATGGAGTCAGGGTGCAGGTCTGCCAGGATCTCACTGAACGGTGGGACAGGATTCAAGAGAGGGGGGAGGGCTGAATGGCCTTCTCCTGTTCCTGTGTCCCAGGTGACCCGCCTGTTTCTGCAACGACCACAGTGACGGGGACAGAGCAAAACTGAGCTGGAAACATTCCCCTCGCTTCCAGGTTAGAGAATCCAAGCACCCTGCTCCAGAAGGCCCATGACTGAGAGGATAGGCTGTGATCCCCTCTGCGGTCGAATAACTGAGCTGATTTCCATACCCACCCTACCTCAGTCGAATTGCTCAGCTCTGATTCTCTCCCGACAGTCGAACAACTCAGCTGCAATCCCTCACAGTCAAACAGCTCAGTTCTAATTCTCCCCACAGTCGAACAGCTCAGCTCTGATTCTCCCCACGGTCGAACAGCTCAGCTCTGATTCTCCCCACGATCGAACAGCTCAGCTCTGACTGGCTTGTGTTAAAGGGCAGGAGTTGCTCAGCTCTGTCGGGTGGGAAGGTTACTGATTCAGTGGGGCACTTTGGGAGACTCCAGGCCAGGGTGACAGCCTGCCTCAGAGGTGATTAAGGATAGCTGTGAGCTGCAACGCTGAGAGTGCAGGGAATTATGTGCGGGGTGAATGTGAGCAAGACTTTCTGTTCCCAGTGGGAATGTGAGTGAGACTTTCTGTTCCCAGTGGGGAATGGGAGCAGGGCTTTCTGTTCCCAGTGGGGAATGGGAGCGAGACTTTCTGTTCCCAGTGGGAATGTGAGTGAGACTTTCTGTTCCCAGTGGGGAATGGGAGCGGGGCTTTCTGTTCCCAGTGGGGAATGGGAGCGGGGCTTTCTGTTCCCAGTGGGGAATGGGAGCGGGACATTCTGTTCCCATTGGGAATGTGAGCGGGGCTTTCTGTTCCCAGTGGGGAATGGGAGCAGGGCTTTCTGTTCCCAGTGGGGAATGTGAACGGGACGTTCTGTTCCCATTGGGAATGTGAGCGGGGCTTTCTGTTCCCAGTGGGGAATGGGAGCAGGGCTTTCTGTTCCCAGTGGGGAATGGGAGCGAGACTTTCTGTTCCCAGTGGGGAATGTGAGCGGGACTTTCTGTTCCCGGTGGGGAATGGGAGCGGGGCTCTCTGTTCCCAGTGGGGAATGGGAGTGGGGCTTTCTGTTCCCAGTGGGTAATGTGAGCGGGACTTTCTGTTCCCAGTGGGGAATGTGAGCAGGGCTCTCTGTTCCCAGTGGGGAATGTGAGCAGGGCTTTCTGTTCCCAGTGGGGAATGTGAGGGAGACTTTCTGTTCCCAGTGGGGTATGTGAGCGGGACATTCTGTTACCAGTGGGGAATGTGAGCGGAACTTTCTGTTTCCATTGGGAATGTGAGCAGGGCTTTCTGTTTCCAGTGGG